TCGCAGTGTGATTTTTGCTTGTTTGGTTAATTTATTTATTTTTGGTCATAGTCCTTAAGGAGGGTAAAATGTTAAAAAAAAAGGAGATGACCACACACATGTTATGAGGCTAGTCGCTGCTGGAAAAAGCACAATTAGGAAAGGTAAATATTACTGAGTGACTTGTACCATTTGCCTGAGACTTGGCAGTGGATACTTTTTATTATATAAATAAATATAATTTTCAGGAAGTTAATTTCTCTGGAAGAATAGTTGACTTTACCACCCCCTGTATTTAGAGTATCATACAATCATATTGATAAGGGATTAGTAGCCCTTATATTATTTTCCAAAGACATTACATATAGGGGGATAATGTGTATTGATACATAGATAATGTGTATTGATAAACAGTATTGATACATAGAGATCCTACATAGGGCACTGGCAGCCTTTATATTTATTTTTTTCAACCAAATAAATCCTTCTTAAGATTTAAGACCGCTTTCCTTCCTTATTCATAATTACAACAGTACAGTCTTCTCATAAAACACTCCCTGATGTTTGGATCAGCCTTGCAGACAGCCTTATGCCTTTGAATCTGAATGCAGTTACAGTTTCTGGTGGCAAAGTAGTAAAAGGTATTGATTTTATTTATTGTACTGCTATGAAAAGGTTGTATAACTGGATTGATGGGTTGGAGGATTACTAAAAATATTTTTATAGGGCTGGGAAATTTTAATCTTGTATACAGTGCTGAATTTGACTATATTGCTAGGCTGAAAAGAGGCATCTTATAAGCTAAGAACTACTCTTTGTAATAAGCTCTTGGAATGAACTATTCTTGCATGGCTATTTGTCTTTAATAACATTTAGTGCTTACCATGTGTGCGTGCTGTTAGATCATTTCCTTTCTCCTCCTCCTACTCCTCCTTCTTCTGCCTTTTACACAGGTCTAAAAGATACAAATTGGTATAAGATGGTAAAAACATTTCTGTTCTCATTATCCAAAATAGCCATATTCAAAACCAAACATTTGATAAGGTTTGAGTTGCATACAATGAAATGCATGCATCACAAATGTATAATTAGACCATCTTGACATAGGACTGCATTCCTGCAATGCATACCCTTTGTCTATTAAGACACAAACATTTTTATCATCTAGAAAGTTCTTTCTGTCAAACCTCTTTCCAATCAATCTCTCCTTCTCTCTCAAATAACCATGATAGAATTTCTTTTGGTACACACTCCCTTGCGTCTGGCTTCTTTCACTCCACCCAATACTTTTGAGGTTCATTCCATTGTGTGTGTTAGCAGTTAGTCCATTTTTATCGCTGAGCAGTATTTCCCATGAACAAGATACAGGCAGATTTGCAATGTCCCAGTGAGATTTTCCCAACTGAGTGAGAGTGGATACAATCTAAGAGCTATCCTTTAGCTATTTCTTCCACTGGTCATACTTAAAACTTAACACTTAAGCCATTTTTTTTTTTTCCCGTAAAGTACAAATCTTGGCCTTCCTTTATCAGGAAGGGAAGGAAGGACTCCCTATCAGATTTCATAGTAGTAAATCAGAATTTAAATATAGAAGACTTGGTATTTCTAGCAAGCTCCCTTTATAGATATTATGAATTGACATTATCACTTTTAGCAAATATTTTGTAAATAAAAGAGTAAAATAAAGGGCTTGCAGAATGCAAAAGTGCCAAGTTGCTCCCAGTAATTATGTTGATGGATTGCAACAAGCAGAGACGTGAAGCGAAGGGATAAGGTGAGCTGGGGGTCAGACATAATTAATTAAGGGGGAGCTAGGGAATGGGATTTGAGCAAGTTACTTCACTTTTCTATGGTTGAAAAGAGGGGTAGGGGCTAAAACAGAAGAGAGAGAAGAAAGCAAGCTTCTGTCAGTTTGCGATATCTCCAAGAGGGAAGAAGGTTTCCCTTTACGTAAAGCAGAACACAGGCCTTCTTTGCTTTTCTTGATCTCCATCCTCCACCTGCTGCCTCCCCAAGGGCTGCAAACCTCACCTGTGTTTTCCTTGTCGTTGCCTCCCAGCAGAAATGTGAATACAGTTCAAAACTAATAGAGCAGCATATCAGTGCTCCTGACTCACAGGTTGAAAAACATAGCCCAAAGAAATGGGATCTTTTCCCTCACATATGGTGATAAGGTGCTTAAATGCCAATGTGATAAGAACAAGATAAATAATTGCTACAAGTCCTGAGATGCACCCAAAAATATCAGGCTGGCACCACACTCTACCCAGTGAAATGTTTTGGATGGTCTGAGGGTGGGGGAGGGAAGCATATACTTTTCATTTATACAATTTATTCTTTTTAGATGCCAAACTGCCATGAAACATTTCTATCACTGTGGTGAAGCGTCTGGCTATCTCAGGCTTGCAGTTGCTGCTCAAACACTGTGCACAGATAAACATGTGTCTCGTGTTTCATCTGCTTTGTTCGGTGCATCTTTGGGCCTATCTCCTGGGATGCTACCACAGCCCACTCATCCTGGAGGGTGGGGCTCAGAGCTTCCCAGCTGTTCCATGTTACCAGGCTAATGCATCCCCACTCACTACTTGCTGAAGGGCTTTCCCTTCTCTCCTCTCAGGGACTGGGGAGGAGGAGAGATGAGGTGACTGAAGCCAGCTTGCCCATTGTCCTAGCCACCTGTTTTCTTTCTTTCTTTCTTTTTTTTTTTTTTTTGGTGGTGGGGCTAGGGATTAGAACCCAGGGCCTTATGTATACAAGGCAAGTACTCTACCTACTGAGCTATATCCCCAGCCCTGTTACATTTTTAATATGCCATATTGATATTCACTTGAAAAATTATATGTATTATATTTGTAAGTAAGACTGTTGAGATTGTTAGGGATCATCATTTTCACCGTAAGAGACAGGAGACACAAGTAAAACATTTTAAAGAAATAGGATACTTTTGATTAAATTGAAACTTGAACTATTTGAATATTTAAAATTTGAAATTGACATTTGATACTGAATAGCAAATATTCGAATATATTTGAATTTTAAATATAGCTATGAATTAATGATGTTTCAAAAATGTTTTTTAAAAAAACCTAGAAGCTATGACAACCCAGTTAACACTGAGAATGGTCCTGGAATACTATTCCCTGATAAATGGTGTAGAGTAGGAAACGACAAATCAAGACTCCATCATATTATTATGCAGAAAAGTAAGGAAGCTGACTACTGGCCAAAGGTGGATGATTTGACTATCGAAACTAATAAAAATGGCCGTTGATCAAAACATACTAATTAAATAAAAATCCTGGAATTTACAATGATACTCAAAAGAGAAAGCTAAAGCAAGAAACAACTCATTTTTTTTTTCTTCCTGAAGGTAGTGTATCATCTCTGTGCTCTGAAAATTAGTAACTAAGAGAAAAGAATTAAGACTTGATTACTTTTCCTGTTAAAAACTTATTTGCATTACAAAGTAGCCCTGGTTGACAAGGGAAAGCTTTACTTACAGAAGTATTTTTACCTAATAAATGTAGAAAATAATAAAAGTAGTAAAAAAATCACTATTTTTACAACATGTTATGAAATAATTGATTCAGGAAATAAATATCAATGGATGCTAAAAACTAAGAAATATTAATGAGGAACTGGACATTGTAAGGGAGTTGAAGGGTCTTGCAACAACTACCCACTCCATTGCAAAAGTCACTTCTTGTAGCAAGGGCCATGGGGAGATGACCATGTTAGACAAAGAGAGATTGCCAAGACATGTCAACCTTAACAACAGAAACAACCCCCCCAAAAAAAAAACCCTTTTAAATATATCTATATCTTGAATTTGCATGTGCATTCTAGGAAAAAAAGGAAAGGAAAAAAAAGAAAAGAATAAGAAAGAAAGAAAGGAATGTGGCTAGTTTGTGGACATGGTGGTGTTTCTAATCACCACTTAAGAAGTATGTAGTTGACCATGATTCTTGCATCCCTTCCCCAATTCCCAACTCTCCCCTTCCTACCTTCACTGAAATCTTGAGGGAATAAGTTTATGAAACTGAGAGCACATATCAGAGCATAAATAACCAGAAACTCAAAACAGAGCTTGTCTGAGGTAATCATGGATTCTGGGGTCATAGAACAAATGCTGTAATAAAAACCAGATAATTTTGTGACCAATAACAGTTATAGTTACATATGCTGAGAAAAAAGTAATCAAATTTCATGCTATATGATGGAAATCAGTTGCTGTACTATGCAGGATTGTGCTGCAGGGGTCAAAAAAGAAATTTCCCCCTAACTGTGTACAGAATATTAATAGTTGATTAGAGCACATGCATTTTCTCTCTCTCTCTCTCTTTCTTCCTCTCTCTTAAATAAAAGTATATCTAATAGGAACAGTGGTCCAAAATGCAAACCCCACTTAATCAGGCCCTTCTGTTTAAAATTCAGAGCATGTTTATATACATGTGTATGTATCCATCCAGTTTTATTTAGCTTATAGTCGTTCACACTGCCAGAATTAGTCGTATATATACATATATACACAAATTTTATATGGATGATTTCATAGTGGATCATAGCTAACTGTCAGTAGTAGAAAGTAAATATTCTTAAACCTTAGGAGTAATATTAGGTCATAAACTAAATTGTATAATGTGCGATAGACTATAGTCTACCAGGTTCTGTGATTGTTTCTCCTCTTTCTGTCCTCCCTCTTCCTTCCCTTAATTGGCTTCCTTTGAGAAGCTTATGAATAGTCAAGATTACCTTCAGAGAAAAATGTAAACATGAGAAAAATTAGTCCACAATTTTGGGGGGTTTTTGTTTGCTCCCCTAAAGACAACTGTGTCTTGTCTTCCAAAGGCCCCAGTAATTGCTCCTAGTCCACATGCTCTTCTGCAGTGTGACTTGTGCTATCCCATTAAGAGGGGAAGTGGAATTGTTCTTATCTTGCTTCTGGGTAATGCTGAGTCATTAGCTGAACCCAAAGAATGCAGTAGCACCAATGTTCTGGGACTTCCAAGGTTAGACAGCCTTGCAGCTTCTACCTGGGACTGGTAGGACACATACTCTTGGGACACACCTTTTTAGAGCCAGCTGCTGGGCTCTAAGGGTGGTAAACTACAAGGAGAGATCACAAGTGGCCACCCTGCTTTGCATACAGAGCTCATGGTCAACAACTAGCATCAGTTGCCTGCTCTGTGAGGAAGACTTCTTAGACAGTCATCCCAGTGAAGCCACCAGAGGTCTTTGATCTCAGCCAACATCTGACTGCAGCTGCTTAACGAACCCCGTTCTTAAACTGTCCACGTGTGTGGAGTTCACCCAAAGCACCATGAGAGGTGATACTGATTTTCTGTTCTACAACAGGGAGTTTGGGGTGATTTGTTCCACAGCAACCAAACGGTAACACCCACCAACCCCTGTCGAGAACACACTATTCTTCATGATTTATTGAGAAAAGGAAAAAATGTAAGTATAATAAATTTGAGTTACAAATTATTAAAACACAATATTAGTTTCATATTTGTATATCTTACAAAAATTACTACCCAAATTGTTACAACATTTAGATAGGTTATGAATTTGAGGGTATTTGGTCTTTTAGTTCATTTTCAAATCAATAAGTACACAAAGGCTGGTTGTTTGTATGCTACTACCACACCTGATTATTACAACATCAGGTGTCAGTCTTCTCTGAACTTGGATGATTCTCATATTAAATACTGCAGAATGCAGCACTGTGTCTCTTTCCCTCTTGCTTCCCCTCCCTGCTCTCTCCTGCTTTCTTCTCTTCTGCCTATTTGTCCCTTCCTCACCCTGTGCATAGGCAAATAAAAGCCTATATGGTCAATATTGCCAATCACTTACCCCCCAACCAGCTGCTTAACTTTAATTATTTTTTAATTTTTTTAACCAAGTAGCATTGAGAAGAAAAACCTTTGAAAATGATGTCTCATATGCTTAGACCTGGAAATTCCACTGTTAGAATCCTTTTCCTTAGACAGCAATGGTTGCTTTAGATAAAGATGTACTTACACATCATGCTAAGTGAAATAAGCCAGACTCAGAAAACTGAGGGTTGAAAGTTTTACCTCATATGTGGAAACTAGAGCAAAAAAAGGCAAAAGAGGTGGGTGGAGGGGTCAGATATCATAACTACATAGGGAAAATCAGTAGAGTAGAAAAAGGAGATTGGGAGGAAGGAAGGATGGGAAAGAGGAGGAAATGTGGAATGAATTTAATAAAATCATGTTATATGCATATATAAATGTACCACAAGGGACATATCTTTATGTATGTGTAGAAATAGCAACCAAAAATATATAAAAGAGTGAAAGGAAGGTCAGCAGAGCAGAAGAAGAAGAACATATGTAGGAGTAGAGGGAAAGTATCAGGGGGACAGAAGTTGAAATCAAATTCCATGCATTTATAATTTTGTTGAAATGAACCCAACTACTTTGTGTAACTGTAATGCTCTAAAAAGAAAGATGTAATTGCAAGGATGTTTACCAAAACATAACAAAAGAAAATTGGAAATAATGTAAATATGCCTCTTTGAGGGATTTTAATAAGTAATGGTATATCCATACTACAAAATACTATGCTGCAATTAAAATTAAATAAATCTATTTATATTTGTATGGTAAGATTTTCAGGATATATTACTCAATTTAAAAACAAAGTGCAAAACACTAATTAAAATGAATATTCATTCAATATATATATATTGAATGAATATATATATATAAAGAAAACTCTAGACTATATACCATGCTGTCAACAGAGTATACCCTTGAGTGGTGGGACCATAGGGTGACTTTCAGTTTCTTTTTTCAACATTTTTATATTACATTTATTACTTTTACAATACTACCAATATTTAATACAGCTTTCATTTAAGTTGAAAGTTGTCAAGAAAGTAGGTCATCAGTGACCCACAAAATGCAAAATGGTTACTATGTGTGGCGATGTGTTAAAAAATTTGATTTTCATAATAAATTTGATTCTCACTTTGCAATGTGTAAGCATGAACTCATTACTCTGTGTACTTCAAATATATGAAATTTTTATTTGTTAAATATTCTTAAAATGTTATAGAAAGAAAAGAATTTATAAATCAAATTTATAAATTTGTTGATTGGAAACACCTTATTATTATTTCTTATTATCCCTATTTTTTTTTCTGTATAGGAAGAAGTAATGGTGTAATCTTCCAGGGAATCCATGTCCTCACCTATAAAATACCTCAAGGAATTCTCTCCCGCTTACTATACTCAATATATTCTCCCTGACACCATATCTCCTATCACTTATGGCTTAGGACTTGTGCTAGTTACTATATGTATTACTTTTCACAGATTCATGATTAGTTTTTACATGTATGTAGTCTACATCCTCAACTATATGTAAATTCCTTGGTTATTGTCTTTTCTTTCCATTGTACTGTCTACTGTGTTCAATAAATGCCAACTGTTTTTCTGCTTCGTGGGCTACATCAAGAGGTTGTCAAACCATGGCTTGTGGATCAATCAAACTTGATGGAACATTAGTGTTTAAATAGTTCACAAACTAAGAATCATTTTGACTCTTTTAAAAAACTGAAAAAAAAAATCAAAATAACAATAACATCTTATAACTCATGAAAATTATCTGATATTCAAATTTCAGTGCCCAAATACAAAGTTTTATTGGAAGGCAGATACAGTCCTTTGTTTACATATCTTCCATGGCTGTTTTACACTACATTAGAGTTGAAACAAATAATATCTGGACTGCAAAGCCTAAAAACGTTTACTAGTGGGTTCATTGCAGAAAAGTGCAAGCCCCTGACTTGATGTAGTAAGAGTAGGTTGCATAAGAAATGTTCTTTTAGAAACATCTGCTGCTGTGGAGTGCCCCTGTAGACTGCACTGTCATTCTTGAGTTCTTCCTGCTTCTGTGTAGCAGGATTATACACCCAAACCCTTGCACATGTGGCAGTGCAGTGTCACCCAGTACACATGGCATAAATCCCTGCCCTGGTGACTTTAGGCTTGGTCATGAAATGCTTTGGCCAATGGAATATCAGCAGATGTGATATGAGTGAGGCTTTAAATGTGCTTGCAGAGTTTGGCCTAGGTTCCTGAGCTCCTGTGATCTGCAATGAGGTGGCAGCCATCTGTTCTGGTAACCATTGGCCCCAGCATGAGAGACATGCAGAGCAGATCTGAACTTGAACCAGAGTCAGCCCAGCCAGTGCACAGGCCTGAGAGTGAGAAATGAATGTTTGCTGTAGAGAGTACTGAGATTTTGGGATTGTTTGTTATGCAAAGACTGAATACTATGGGATTCATCACTCATTAGTTATGGTGATGTTTGCGTAGTTCTCCTATGCTAAAAATATAGCAACTAGAAATCTCCTTTAGTTTAGAAAGAAGTGATATGGATTACTCCAGGTAACCCATGAATGTAATATATTTATACTGCTTTATGAGTATAGTCATAAGTTTGAGAAAAGGCTATTTATCTTTTTCACAGATCTATTCTAATGCCTTGAAATTGCTTTTTTTGGTGGACTTGTCCAATATTATGAAAGCCACTTGTTTGCTGTTAAAATGAATGAGCTGAGCTCCATTGCTTCCTCCTTCCTTCACTCCTCTTGTCTGACTGCATTGTGTGGCTGAGGAGTTAGATCAGGGGTAGAGTGCTTGCTCAGCACATGCAAGACCCTGGGTTCAGTCCTCAGCTCCACAAAAAAAAACAAAAATACAGGTTTGCATGGTGAGACATGGGGTTGTCTGTATGCATTTTTATATGCCATTTCTAAGTCTTGAAAGGCAAATATATTTTACTTGTAAAATGGAAAATTTTTAAACATATTATATTGGTGTTTTTCCCATGAATATTTAGAAACTGATTGATAGTAGTGAGTGCATGATTTCTTTAAAGTAAGGTTTCTTAACAGTGACACTACAACTTTTTGGTCTAGACAATTACTTGCTGTGGGAAGCTGTCCTTCGAATTTTATGTTTAGCAGTATCTCTGGTCTCTCTACACTAGATGCCAATAGCACATCCCAGACCCCTTCTCTCTCTAACTGTGCAATCGAGACCATTGAAAATATCCTTTTACATTTCCAAATATCCTCCTGGAGGCAAAATCATCCTCACTTGAGAACTACTGCCTTAATGAAGGAATTCTAATGCAGTGGCTTTCATATCTGGTTACACATTATAATAACCTAACAAGTGTTATTTTTTAATCTATTATTATTTTTTATTTTGGGGGGACTGGGGATTGAAAGTAGGGGCACTCTAATACTGAGCCACACAGAGCCTCCTTTTTAAATTCTTTTTTGAGACAGGGTCTTGCTAAGTTGCTTAGAGCCTCACTAAGTTGCCTAGGCTGGCCTTGAACTCCTCCTGCCTCAGCCTTCTGAATCACTGGGATTATAGGGATGTACCACTGCATCCAGCACAAACTTTGTTTTTACAATTTTATTTTAAAATAATTTCAAAATTATTGAAGGTTGAAGTAACAGTACACAGAACCCTCACATACCATTTGCTAATTTTTACCAGACGTGTTCATTCTTTCTCTACAGATAGGCATAAATATTTTTTAATATTAGTTATGGTGATATTTGCGTAGTAAGTTGAATATAGGATACCTCCTTACTTCTTACTATTCATAGTATATATCCTAAGAACAATGACATTCTCTTATATAATCCTAGGATGATTAGCAAAACATAAAATTTTAAATTAATCTGTTACCATTATCCAATCCATAGTTTGTATTCAAGTTTTACCAATTAGCACACACACAAAAATGTCTCTTGTAAATGTTTTTCACAGCTCAGGACCCAGTGAAGGACACCCAATGTGTTTTGTTGTGATTTCTCTTTCCTTTTCTTTGGTTTAGAATAGTTCCTCAGCCTTTCATTTTTTACAACCTCAATATTTTTCTGGAGTACAGGCTAATTATTTTGTAGAAGTAGATTTGTCTGAATTTCCTTGTGACTAATCAAGTTATGCAATTTTATTAGGAATACTGGTGAATAATAAATAAACTTTTTAGCATAGCTCCCAGGAATCCCTTTCATGACATTTGATTCCTTTATTGGTAATGTTAACGTGTTATTTGGAAGGGTGGTATGTTAGTTTCCTAGGGCTGCTGTAACAAATAACCACAAACTGGGTGGCTTAAAACAAGAGAAATCTTTACAGTCTAAAAGTCTGGAAGTGAGAAGTCCAAAAACAAGATGTGGCGGGGTGGGGGTTGCTCCCTCTGGATGGTAGAGAACTCCTCCCTGTGCCTTCCAGCAACTGGTAGCCCTCAGCATTCTGTGGCTGCCTCACTCCAGTCTCTGCCTCCATCTCCACCTGGCTATCCCTGCTTTCTCTCTGTCCATGTCTTCTCTTCTTTGTCACTGCATTTAGGGTCTACCTGAGTAATCCAGGATGATCTCATCACAAGATAAAATAGCTTAATTACATCCTGACAGATCCTTTTGCTGAACATGGCCACATACGCAGGTTCTGGGGGTTATGACATTAATGTATTGTGTGAGGACCACCATTCAACCCAGCACAGATGGTGTCTGCCAGGATTTTTCAGTGTGAAGTTACTATTTTCCCTTTGTTGTTTTTGTGGGAAGATACTTTGAGACTGTGTAAAAATGCTATTCCTCATCAAAATCGCCTATTAGTTAGAGCAATTATTGATGATTCTTGCTCAACTTGTGATTTTCTAATTCCATCCTTCTGTCTACATTTATTAAGTAGGCATTGTGTTGTAAGTTTCCTCCCCCACCCCCACCTCCTTTTCTTCTTATCTGTATTGATTGATTCTCATTTTATTCAATAGGTTATAACGTACTATAGTTTTTATATTCCCATTAAAATTTTCCTTCTTATGGACAATGAGTGTACCTCAAGCAGATTTCTGTGTCATTTGAAATCATCCCCATAATACTTTAAGTAACATTCTACTTTCTGATACAACAAAATATTCTCAGTTTAACTTATATTTTCTTCACCCCAGCTCTATAATCAGCCATTTCTCCAAGAAGCCCTGGTTTCTTTTAATCAGGATTGGTATTTAAAAATCAATTTTTTCTATAAAAAATTTTAGTCTCATTTTCAGAGATTATAATTCACAAATCCTGGGGTAGGAAACAAAAATTGTGTGTGTGTGTGTGTGTGTGTAAAGTTCCAGGTAGTTTTGTTATATAACAATGTGTGTGAACACTCTTGTATTCAAACCATGATTTACACTGCTCTCTTGGGAGCACATTTTTCATCTAATGGGACAAACAACCACCTCATATCTTAATTACCAGATACCAGCAAATGAAACAAGATAAAACTTACAATATCCGACATAACTTATTAGATACCAGATGTCATTGATGGATGTCTAAGATAGAAAATGTGTTCTGTGGTGTAAAATAATTATTGATTATGAAATCAGTTAAATTCAAATCAAATCTAGATATAATTACAAATAAAAGAGAAGGTGGAATTTTTACTTTTGAGCTTCATTCTTCTGACTATAATCCCTCCCCCTCTCTTCTGTTTCTCACACTGAAGAATGCATCACTTTGTGAGAAGGGATGCTGGGAACACACAGGTTTTCACAACGGAATAGAAAAATAATCTATTTCAATATCTGTTCTTGACTGTCTTCAATAATAGATAACTCAGAGAAAGAACAAAATTACTTCAGTGAAGCCAATGGTACTATTGAATAACTATATCACACTTGGTATTGAGCATGAAAATGCATTTTTCTTATATGAAATGTGGGTTAATATTTTTTATTTCTTAAAAAATATTTCAAGGAACTAAAATTCTTTGTTTTATCTACAGATGATCAGTACGTGTGTGTATACACATATGTATATATCTCAAAACTTTGAATCTGTAACTTTGTCTTAGTAAAAATAAATATATTTCCTCTTTCAGATAGCAGCACTTTTCCCCCATAAAATTACAAAGGTAAATTAGAAAAAAAAATCCCCCGTGGGAGTGAGAATTATAATTATTAGCATTAACAAGTAATAATTGCCATCTTTGAGCATGTACCAGGAATTACATACATTATCTTTATTTTACCAATAAAGAAACTAAAATTCAGGAAAAGGAAGTAACTTTTTCAAGGTCACATAAGCTAAGAAATGGCTAAGCAAAGACTCCAATACAGTCAGGATTTGCTTCTTCATAATACAGTAACAAACAGCCCTCAAATCTCAGCCATTTTTAACAAAGGCATAGCTTCCGCTATGTGTGCATTGTGGGTAGATGGTGGCTTTTCTCAATTTCAGCTTCATTCTTTTTTTTTTTTAATTAGTTACACATGACAGTACAATGATCTTGACAATTCATACATTTGAATCAAATGGGGTATAATTTCTGAGCTTCATTCTTGAATCCAGGCTGATAGTGAAGCCTCTGGAGTTGAACAGAGGAAAAAGGGAATGTGGCAAACCACACACTAGCTCTGACTACTTCTTTCT